ATTTTCCCTGCCCAGAAGGGAATCTGCCCCATGTGTTCCTTTGCTAATAAACCCTATTTTGATGGAGTTTTAGCTGTGCCTCAGTGCCTCGTCATCCATTCGCTCCTTCTCTGCCAACTTTTTACCTATCAAGAAAGATCAGAAGTCCAGTGATCAAGGCCCACCTTTAGGGCTCAGGGGGTAAAGATGCTTGTCACCAAGCATGCAGACTTGAGTTAATCCCCTGGACCTACATGGTGGAAGAAGAGGATCTGCTAGATTTAGGAGAGCAGAAAAAGGAAGGAGTTTAAAGTTTAGAAGTAAGAGTCAGAGCCAGACCTGCCGCAGGCAAGGAGTGTGTTCTCTTTTATTGTAAGAACATGGCAAAGGGCTGAAGCATCTGTGGAAAACGGGCATCTGCAAGGAAAGGCAGAGCAATCTGGACTTACATAGGAACTCTGTTGGACGCAGCTGCAGGAACTTGCTCAGTGTCAGTGTCCTTGGGTAATTGAGATCATTGAGATTCTTCCTCCTGAGATTATTTCCTCAGTATGAGCAGGCAAGTTATCTTATGGCACAAAAAGGAGATTAAGTCAGCCCAGTAAACAGTCTCTTGTCAGCCCAGGAAGTGACCAGTTGATAAGGTTTGAGCAAAGGCCAAGCCACCAATTTGAACCATTTGGCCACATTGAGGAATTTATGTCCATATGGCTTCCTTCAAGGAAGTTTTTGGCTCTCCTGCAATTCACACATTCTATCAAAATCGACTCTGGAAAGTTCTCCTCTGACCTTCCATGTGTTCCCTAACTGTCCCCCCAAATAAATAAATGTAATTAAAAAAAAAAAAAAGCCTCTCATAGTGGCATACATCTTTAATCCCAGCACTGACCAGGAAGAGGCAGAAAAAAAAAAAAAAAAAAAAAAAAAAAAAAGGGAAAAAAATAGGCAAACACTACCAACTGAGCTACTTCTTCCCCTCTACCCCCCACGCTGAAGATTGAACCTCAGACCTTGTGCATACCAGTCAGGGCTTTGCTGCTGCTAAGCTACACATGAAGCTCCTAGAAGGACTATTTTATTATGATTATTATTTTTTTATTGGTGTCGGGAGGGTGTGCTTGTTGGAGGTCAGAGTCGGACTTCCACCATGTGGGTCTCAGGGATGGAACTCATCAGGTTTGATGGCAAGCCCCTTTACCTTCTGAGTCATTTCACTGACTTTGGATGTATATATGAGGTGTGTGTGTGTGTGTGTGTGTGTGTGTGTGTGTGTGTGTGTGTGTAACAGGGTCTCCCTGTAGCCCCAGCTGGCCTGGAACTATGTAGACCAGGTTGGCTTGGATCTCAGAGATCCACCTGCTTCTGTCTCCAGAGTGCTGAGATTAAAGACCACTTCGCCGGCCCAGGGTCATTTTTATTTGCTAAACTTGCCACCAGTACCCAGTGCCCTCTAAGGAGTTTGTATGGTGAAGGGTGTGTGGGGCGGAAAGGGCAGGAAGCATGTCTCTGGCCCTGAAAAGTGGCACAACAGCTGGGGTCAGGCAGCACCTGCTAATTATTCGCATTCAGGGTTGAGGTGTCTGAGCTATTGTTCCCAGGAATCTCCCCCACCCAGGCCCTCCCTCTCCCTGCATTTGCCCAGGTCATATTCCACGCGGAGGAAACTGATGCTTGGGAGGCCGAGGGTGGAGAGGAAGGTGGAGAATGCACCTTTTCCTTGCGGGCGGGGACGAACAGCAGAGACCAAGTGGGCAGGCGAGATTGAAATGCAGAAACCGTACGGGCGGGGTCGGGAAGCAGAAAGCCAGGCGGGCGGGCACGATTGAGGAGCCGCGTGTGACGCGAGGGCTGGGGACCGAGACTCGAGGTTCGGCTCGGGCGGGGACGAGAAGCAAGGGAAGCGCGGGGACGGCGACCGGCGCGGGCGGGCGCGGCCTTTGTCTCCTCCTTCCGCACGTTCGGCAGTGGTTCCCGCGGCCCCCCGGCGCCCGGGCGTCCCGTAGCCCCTGACCTGCCGTGTCCTCGCCATGACCGAGGCGGCCTCGGGCGCCGGGGGCGCGACCCTGGAGGGGGAGCGAGGCAAGAGGCCTCCGCCCGAGGGCGAGTCTGCGGCTCCTTCGTCCGGAGTCTTGGGTACGTGAGCATCTGATGGCACGGTGGCAGGTGCACCGGTGCGCTCGCGCTGCTCGGGGCGGAGGATTGAGGGCACGCGTCCTGGGGCTGGCGTTGGGCCCGGGGACCGCTCCTCATGGCACTGCGGCTGCGGCCGGGAGCACAGGATTGGAGTGATGCATCTGCACTGGGGGTCCCAGGACACACCCCTCTGACAGCCTGGCACCCGGTACCGGAAGACTCCTGGACAGGGATGCGGGGTGGGGGCATAGAATCCCATGGTCCTGGGTTCGAAGTCGACCTGGGCTGGGTGACCTTGGGCGCTTGACTTAAACTCTCCAGGCCTCAGTTTGGTGACCTGTGAAATGGGGGTGAGGCCCGCACCAGTCTTGCGGCTGCTTTAAGGACGGCAAGGGAGAAGGGAGAAGTACTCAGGGCTGCTGTGGGCGCCCCATTGATTGTGGTTTGGGAGGCGGAGCTGTGCCTCAACCATGAGTAAGATTTCTAAGGAGGGACCTAGGGGGAAGGGCCTGGCTATAGCAAGGGAGAGAGGAAAGCCTGCCAGGCCTGGAGAGCTTGGATGAGTATAGAGTCTGAATCTCCCGAGTGGCCTGATCCCCGCTTGCCCCCCCCCCCAGATAAACTGTTCGGGAAGAGACTCCTGCAGGCCGGTCGCTACCTGGTGTCCCACAAGGCCTGGATGAAGACGGTGCCCACTGAGGACTGCGACGTACTCCTGACCTTCGCAGGTACCCACTCCCGCCTGCCCTGCGCCCCGGGATGCTGAGCTGGCCCTCGTGGGCCCCCCTCGAGGCAAGAGCATTGGTCCCTGTGCCCCTTGGCAGACACCACGGATGACCACACGCTGCTGTGGCTGCTGAACCATGTCCGCGTGGGCATCCCCGAGCTGATCGTGCAGGTTCGCCACCACCGCCACACGCGCGCCTACGCCTTCTTCGTCACCGCCACCTATGAGAGGCGAGTCCCCTGCCTCCACTCGCAGGCCCTGCCTCCCAGATCCCTGCCTCTCAAGTGCCGGCCTTTCCTTGGTCCCTAACCTGTGGCTCCACCGCACCGTCCTTAGCTCCTGGATGGTTGGGCTGGCGTCCTTCCTGTGAACCCACTGTCTCCTGTCCACCCCGCAGCCTGCTCCGTGGGGCTGATGAGCTGGGCCTGCGCAAGGCCGTGAAGGCCGAGTTCGGCGGGGGCACCCGCAGCTTCTCCTGCGAAGAGGACTTCATCTATGAGAACGTGGAGAATGAGCTTCGCTTCTTCACTTCGCAGGTGAGCACTCGTGTCCCGCGTGTCTGCATTGGGGGCTGCCAGGATGCAGGCATGTCCCTGCAGATGTAGGCTCACAGCCAGGGGTGCAGGTCCACACCTGGGGGTGCAAGATCACACCTTGGGGGTTCAGGATCACACCCATGGATGCAGGCTCACACCCGGGGGTGCAGGTCCACGGGGGGGGGGAGTGCAGGATCACACCCATGGAAGCAGACTCACACCTGTCAATACAGGTTCACACCGGGAGCTGCAGGCTCACACCTGTAGATACAGGTTCACACCCAGGGGTGCAGGCTCACACCCTGGAGGTGCAGGCTCACACTCCAGGATGCAGGCCCAACCTGAGGATGCAGGCTCACACACCCACTTCCCCAACAGGAGCGGCAGAGCATCATAAGGTTTTGGCTTCAGAACCTACGAGCCAAGCAGGGGGAAGCCCTGCACAACGTGCGCTTCCTGGAGGACCAGCCAATCAGTGAGCAGAGCTGGGCCCACCCTCCAATCATAGGCAGACAGTGGGAGAGCCTCTGAGAGGATAGCCTATGGGCACAGGAGGGCGGAGCCTGTAGCCAATCATTCAGCGTCTAGGAAAGAGTTGGACAACCAAAGAGCTCAGTGGGCGTGGCCTCCATTGGCCAGGGTGGGTGGGCGTGTCCTTCGCGGCTGGGCGGGGCAGGGCTTACTCTAGCCTGTCCAGGTGAGTCTTTTCTGGGTCTGAAGGAAGGTGCGGACAGGACCCTGGACAGCGCCCCACGTGTCCCTGGGGGACCTTTCCTCTCTGGAAAACTGCTGTTACAAAACAAGTTCACCTTTCAATACCAGCCTGTGTCATTTCTTAGATGTTCAGGGCAAGAAAGGAGGCTAAATTTTAAAATACAGTTGGTGGCGCGGTGGTACATGCCTATCATCTCCAGGCCTTGGAAGGCTGAGGTTGAGAGATTGTTAGTTCAAGACTGGCCTGCCTGGGCTGCACAGTGAAACTCCTGTCACAAAAACAAAAACCAAAACCTCCTGGCTTCCAGCCAGACCCTGACCCTCAAATCCACCTTCTGAGTGCTGGGACAGCAGGTTTATTGTAGTACTGGCAACGGAACTTTGGGCTTTGTTCGTACTAGGCAAGCACTGTACCAACTGAGCTACAAACACTCTAATAATTGAGTCACATCCCCAGCCTTCCGTTTAAACCCCTTCTTGTTTTTTTTTTGTTTTTTTGTCTTTTTGATGCAGGGTCTCCCTGTAGCCCCAGCTGACCTGGAACTCACTATGTAGACCGGGCTGGCCTTGAACTCACAGAGATCCGCCTGCCTCTGCCTCCCAAGTGCTGGGACTACAGGCATGTGCCACCACACCCGGCTAAACCCCTTCTTGTTTAAAAACAAGCAAAAGCTATGACTTTGGTGGACTGTCTGGGCTGGTTGGATGGTCCAGGGGCAGGGTCACTCTTCCTCCTCTCCCTGCAGTCCCTGAGCTGGCCGCCCGAGGTATCATCCAGCAGGTGTTTCCAGTCCATGAACAACGTATCCTGAATCGTCTCATGAAGTCTTGGGTGCAGGCCGTGTGTGAAAACCAGCCTTTAGGTGTGGCTCTGGGGCTGGGGAGTGAGTTAGGGTCCCAAGACTTACTTGGAGGTGACCAAGAACCCCTGTCCCCTGGCAGATGATATCTGTGACTATTTTGGGGTGAAGATTGCCATGTATTTTGCCTGGCTGGGCTTCTACACATCAGCGATGGTGTACCCGGCTGTCTTTGGTTCTGTTCTGTACACATTCACCGAAGCCGATCAGGTACTGGGAAGGAGCTGGGCCAGGAGCAGGACTGCTCTAGAGGTGCCTCCATGAGCCAGCTGGGTCTCTGAGTGGCTCTTCTCTGTGACCCCCTGCCCCAGACAAGCCGGGATGTTTCCTGTGTGGTCTTCGCTCTCTTCAATGTAATCTGGTCGACGCTATTCTTGGAGGAGTGGAAACGGAGGGGGGCAGAGCTGGCCTACAAATGGGGGACACTGGACTCACCCGGGGAAGCTGTGGAGGAGCCACGGCCCCAGTTCAGGGTCAGTCGGGGACTGAGGCCAGGGATTCCAGGGGCGCGGGGGTAAAAGAGAGAAAAGAGTGGCTGGGGAATGGGAGTGGGGACAGGTGAGTGGTAGCTGGGGATGTGGAGGAAGGCAGGAGGCAACATCAGAGGGAGTGTACCAGCCACCAGAGGCTTTTATGCTCAAAGCATAAAAGGGAAGGGTGGGAAACTGGATTTGAGGGCTGGGAATTGTGCACTGTAGTGGATGTTTGTGAAGAAAAAGGTGTGGCAGAGGGAAATTGGTTGTAGGATTCAGAAGTGGGCATGGCCACCAGGCTTAGGGGAGCCGTACCCCTTTCCTCTCTAGGGTGTTCGCCGCATCAGCCCCATTACCCAGGCTGAGGAGTTCTACTACCCTCCCTGGAAGCGCCTGCTTTTCCAGCTGCTGGTCAGCCTGCCCCTGTGCCTGGCCTGCCTGGCTTGTGTCTTCATACTCATGCTTGGCTGCTTCCAGCTGCAGGTGACCCATCCCCCTGGCTCTCCCCTGGTCCCTGCCTGCCAGGCACATGGCCCAGCTCCAGCCCACTGAGCCACCAGCCTCATCTTGTATCTTCCAGGAGCTGGTCCTGAGTGTGAAGGGCCTGCCCCGCCTGGCTCGCTTCCTACCCAAGGTGGTGCTGGCCCTGCTCGTCAGCGTGAGTGCAGAGGGCTACAAAAAGTTGGCTGTGTGGCTTAACGACATGGGTATGATGGGGAGGCCTGTGTGATAGGGGAGGTCTCTGTTGTCCCTGGGGACACCCAGCTGCCCTTGGGGCGGGGCAGGATGGCCCTCATTCACCTCCTTGGTCCCTAGAGAATTACCGGCTAGAGAGTGCCTATGAGAAACATCTGATCATCAAAGTCGTCTTGGTGAGTGACCAACAAGGGCTGAAGCAAGAGGACAGGCAAGGGGAGGGGTGATGGAGGGACACAGGGGTGACCCCATCACCTGCCCTGCCCTCCACAGTTCCAGTTTGTCAACTCCTACTTGAGTCTCTTTTACATCGGTTTCTACCTCAAAGACATGGACCGGCTGAAGGAGGTGAGGGTCAGTCACCACCGCAGGGCAGAGCCCAGGCCGCCTGGGGATAGACCCTGTGTGTGGGTCCACGGGCTCTGCAGCCCCCCCTCCTCTATCCTTCTCTCCTTTCTGTCCGTCTGTCCGTGCGTTCTCTGCCTGTCGTTCCCCTCTCCCATCTGTCCGTCGGTCCCTCCACAGCTCCTGCTAGTCCTGTCCCTGTCCCAGAGCCTCGAGTGGCAGCTGCGGGCGGTGCTGGTCCCGCTCGTGGCCCTCCGGTTCCGCCTGCTCCTCCTGTCCCTCCAGGGTCTCCTGCTCGCAGCCCGGGCCAAAGTATGGGCAGGTGGCGAGCCTCCCCAAGGCGGGGTGAAGCCAGGGTGGGCAACCTGGCTGTGCTGGGGTGGGGCACACCAAGCTGAGGGCGCATGTGCAAGAAGAGCCCCCCCTCCCCCCGTGCAGGCTAGGGGGCCGCACCCAGGCGCCCCTAGCGCCTGCTGAAGCCTTGGCTGAGTGGAGATTCTCGTGTCCGTCCCAGCCTGCCCGCAGGTGTGTGTGGCGTGTGCATCAGGGCTGAGTCCCGGGCTCGGTGTGTGCGCAGGGCCATCCAGGGGACGCAGGAGCCAGCGGGACGGGTTGTTCCTGGGTGCCCGGCCTCGCCCACTCCCACCGGCCTCTCTCCGCTCGCAGATGCTGGCCACCCTGCTCATCACCCGCCAGCTGCTGCAGAACATTCGAGAAGTGCTGCAGCCGCACCTGTACCACCGGCTGGGCCGCGGGCAGCTGGGTCTGCGCGCAGTTTGGGAGCTGGCCCGGGCCCTACTGGGCCTGCTGAGCCTACGCCGTAATGCACCGCGACGATACCCTGAAGCCCAGGCGGATGAAGGCGGTACCCGGAGCCACAGGTGTCTGGGCGGAGGCTGTGGAGCACCCGAGGAAGAGGAGGAGGAGACCACGGTGGAGCCGAGGCCGGCCGGGGAAGGTGGGGAGGTCGGGGATGGGCCTCGGGGTGGCAAGGAGGAGGAGGAGGAGGAGGAAGAGGAGGAGGAAGAAGAGGAGGACGAGGAGGAGGAGGGCGAGGAAGGAGGCCTCCTGGACTGCGGGCTACGGCTCAAGAAGGTCAGCTTTGCAGAGCGGAGCGCTGGCCAACGCAGGCCAGGCCCAGAGGCCCTCCTGGAGGAGGGCAGCCCCACCATGGTGGAGAAAGGGCTGGAGCCGGGGGTGTTCACACTGGCCGAGGACGACGAGCCCGAGGGGCTTCCCGGCAGTTCTGAGCTGGAGCCCCCCACCATCTTGCTCCGCCGCGCGGGCGGTGAGGGCCGAGACCACGGCCCTGATGGAGGCCGAGACCCTGACGCTGGTTCCGGAGACACAGCAGGCAGACAGAAAAGGCAGAACAGGTCATCTTGGATCGACCCACCTGAGGAGGAGCATTCACCTCAGCTCACACAGGCCGAGCTGGAGAGCTGCATGAGGAAGTATGAGGTCAGAAAGCCCTGTCATCTCAGTACTGAGAGCCCAGGGCCAGCCTGAACTACATGAGACCCTGTCTCAAAACATAAATAGTGCTGGAGAGGTGGCTCAGTAGTTTAAAAAGCTTACTGCCCTATCAGAGGACTGGAGTTCAGATCCCTGCACCTGTGTCAGGCAGTTCATAAATGCCTGTAACTCCAGCTCCAAGGGATCCTATAACCTCTTCTGGCCTCTGTGGGCAGCACACATACCCATGAACACACACACACAAAAGAACACTCAAATAAAATTTAAAACAAATAAGAATAGCTGGCAAGATGGCTTAGTGGGTAAAGGCACTTGCCCCCAAGCTTGATGCCTGAATTCAATCCCTGTGACCCACGTGGTGGAAGGAGAGAACTGACTTCCAAAAGCTGTCTCACCTCCATGTGTGTGGCATGCATACAGAGCCCTCCCCCCACAATGACACCAAAGATTAACCTTGGCCTCCATACACACGTACATCCTGCACACACACACACACACACACACACACACACACACACACACACAAACATGTACACACACACCAAGCAAACAAAATGTTCCAAACCAGAAAGTACAAACTCAAGAGAGTGTATGATAGTGGGGACAGGTGCACAGTCTGCCGATGGAGGTGGTCCATGTGAACAGGCATCAGTTAGCATGGTGGGATCAAGGCCTGAGCTTGGAGTCAGAGGCTCCTGGACTTGTGAAGGCTGCAGCTGTGGATGGGGAGAAAGCCCGGGTTTAGCTGGATGACCAGAGGGACATGTTTCGTGTCTGACGTGGCTCATCTGCCCTCAGGACACATTCCAGGACTACCAGGAAATGTTCGTGCAGTTTGGCTATATCGTCCTCTTCTCCTCTGCGTTCCCACTGGCTGCACTGTGTGCCCTGGTCAACAACCTGATCGAGATCCGCAGTGATGCCTTCAAGCTGTGCACTGGCCTGCAGCGGCCGTTTGGCCAGCGTGTAGAGAGCATAGGCCAGTGGCAGGTGGGCTAGCTGGATGGGGGGTGCTGGGAGGACACAGTGGACTGTTGGCTAGGCCTGCCCCTGAGCTTCCTGCTTTCCTGCAGAAGGTCATGGAAGCCATGGGCGTGCTGGCCATCGTGGTGAACTGCTACCTCATTGGCCAGTGTGGCCAGCTGCAGCGCCTCTTCCCCTGGCTGAGCCCTGAGGCTGCCATTGTGTCTGTGGTTGTGCTGGAGGTAGGACTGGTGACCTGGACAGAAGTTGGGTGGTAAGAGTACTTTCCAGAGCCTGAAGCCCCTCTGTCCCCCACAGCACTTCGCTCTGCTTGTCAAGTATCTCATTCACGCCGCCATCCCGGACATCCCAGGCTGGGTGGCTGAGGAGATGGCCAAACTGGAGTACCAGCGGCGGGAGGCCTTCAAGGTATGGGCCGGGGCTGGTCTCAGGTCCACATGCACTCCAAGAGGGAACTCCCTGTGGCTGAGTCTTAGTGAAAACTAGGAGGCTGCATAGAATCCTGAGGACACAGTCCCCCCGCCCAGGGGTTTTGCACCCAAAGATTCCACCACTTGTGAATTGAAAACATTCAGAAGTCAGTTGCACCTGTCAGCTGTGGCTCATGCCTGTCGTCCTGCACTGGGGAGGTGAAGGCAGGAGGATCAGGGATTCAAGGCTAGCCTGGGCTACCTGACATGCTCTTGCAAAAATCAAAGACAAATTTAATCTGCTTTGAATGTGTACAGAATTCAGTCTCCTCCTCCTGCCCCTCCTGTTCTCCTTTCACCCCTCCTCCTCTTCTTCCTCCTTTTCCTGTTTCTCCTCCTCCTCTCTTCTTGGAGAGGTCTTATGAAGCTTATGCTGGGCTGGAACTTGCAATGCCCATGCCTCAGCCTTAGGACGACAGGCATGCACCACCACACCTGATTTTTTTCCTTATTTTTTAATATTTTATTTATTTATTTTTTAATTTTTAGTCTTTTTGAGACAGGGTTTCCCTGTAGCCCCAGCTGTCCTGGCACTTACTATGTAGACCAGGCTGGCCTCGAACTCACAAAGATCCACCTGCCTCTGCCTCCCGAGTGCTGGGATCAAAGGCGTACACCACCACGTCCGGCGATTTATTTTTTATTTTATGTGTATGAATATATTGCCTGCATGTAGTTAAGTGCACCTGCGTTGTGCAATGTCAGCAGAGATCAGAAGAAAGTGTTGGATCCCCTGTAACTGGAGTTACTAATGGTCATTAGTTGCCAAGTGGGTGCTGGGAATTGAATCAGGATCCTTTGCAGAGTAGCCAGTGCTCTTAACCGTTGAGCCATTTATTTTTGAGACAGGTCTCTGTTATGTAGCCCAGGCTTAGGACTCCTAGGCCCAAGGATCCATCCTGTGCAAACCAGGGAGGACCATACCTAGGGCTCACAAGAACCAGATTATTGGTTTCTCAGAATGTTCAGTCAGGACTCAAGAATGTTTAGTGGTTTCCAGGCCTGGCGGTGCATGCCTTTAATCCCAGCACCTGGGAGGCAGAGGCAGGCGGATCTCTGTGAGTTCAAGGCCAGTCTGGTCTACATATCAAGTTCCAGGCCAGCTGGGGCTACAGGGAGACCCTGTCTCAAAAAGACCAAAAAAAAAAAAAAAAAGGTTAATGGTTAAGAGCACAGTTTGGTCCCCAGCACCCAAATCAGGTGGCTCACAACCACCTGTAACTCCAACTCCAGGGAATCAAATGCTCTCTTCATACATTACACTCACATTTACAAACTTTACTCACCCACCCAAACACACATAATTAAAAAAAAAAGAAAGAAAGAAAAAGAACGTTCTATCATTCACCAGCCTACAGGGGCACCTCTTCAAAACTCCTGTGCAGTCTTTGGTCCCAGGACTCAGGAGGCAGAGTAGGAAAGCTTTTTACCCCTGACCCATACCCCTAGCCCCTCACTGGAGGGTTCTATACAGGGGCTCTTCCACTGAGCCACTCCCAAATGAATGGGTGGTGGCTTATGATCTGGGCACTGGGGAAGCTGAGGTTGGAGGATTGAGATTTTGAGGCCACCCTGTGCAACACAGTGAAACCTTGCCTCAAAACAACGACGTCCTAAGATGTGGCTGCTGCTGCTCTGAGCTGTTATAGTAGCTCTGCTCCAGAACTGTCACTAAACAGCAGGCCCAGCATTAGTTTACACTGTCCCAGTTCTAAGGCACCAGCTGATTTACACTGGGAACTTTTTTGTTGTTGTTTTGTGTTTTTGAGACAGGGTCTCCCTGTAGCCCTAGCTGGCTTGGAAGTGGCTATGTAGATCAGGCTGGCCTTGAACTTACAGAGATTCACTTGCCTCTGCCTGCGGAGTGCTGGGATTAAAGGTGTGCGCCATCTAGCCCAGCAGTGAACTTTATGAGTATTATGGTTGCATGCATAAGTGCACCTGTGTCCTGCAGTGCCCGAGGAGGACAGAAGAGGGCATCGGATCCCCTAGAACTGGAGTTACTGTTAGCCTATGGGTGCTGGGATTCGAACCTGGGTCTTCTGCAAGAACAGCCAGTGCTCTTAATTGCTGAGCCGTCTCTTCAGCCAACTTTGACGAAATTTCCAGAAAGAAGCAACGTGGGTCGAGGTTCAGATGGTGCCCAGTAAGGGGCTTAGATTGCTCCCTAGTCCAGGACTGGGTCCAGGGAATCAGGTGGTGTTTAATAAGAATTTGGATCTCTCCCACTTTTCTAGAGAGAGCCAGCGTAGGTCTAGGTATTCAGTTGATGCTTAGTATTTGGGTCACCCCATGAAGCCCTGGCATCTGTGTGGGGATGCAGAGGGCCTCCAGTGTGTGTTCTAACTCATTCCTGTGGAGCCTGGGCATCCGAGCGGCATGCAGGTGGTGCCCACCGCGCGCTGTCCCTGCAGAGGCACGAGCGCCAGGCGCAGCATCACTTCCAGCAGCAGCAGCGGCGGCGGCGCGAGGAGGAGGAGCGGCAGCGCCACGCAGAGCACCACGCGCGGCGGGAGCGCGACGCTACCGGCCGGGAGGAGGCGCGAGCGGAGGGCTCCGGCCCGGACCCCGGGGCGCCCGACAAGGCGGCGGCCAAGACCAAGGGTGGCGAGCGACCCCGGAGGCCCGGCTCGTTGCTGGCGCCCAACCACGTGCTGCGCCTGAAGCAGATCATCCCGCTGCAGAGCAAGTTCCTGTCGGCGCCCGCGGGCTCTGCAGCGCCACGCCCCGCGTCGGCGCAGTCGCCCACGGGGGACACGCGGCTGCCGGCCTTCCTCAGCTTCAAGTTCCTCAAGTCGCCCGAGACGCGGCGAGAGCCGGAACGCAGCCACTCGCCACCCAAGGCCACCAAGCTGTTCACCTTCGGCGGAGCGCGAGCGGAGCCCGGGACCAACGGGGCGCCGGGTGTGGGCGGCGCAGGCGCGGCGGGCGCAGGGGGCGCAGCCGTCCGTGCGCAGAAGAGCGCGTCCGGGGAGGAGGCCGCAGTGGAGGAGCTGGAAGCTGCGCGGCCAGAGGAGGAAGGCTCAGGTCACAGGCTTTAACTCGGGGGCGGGGGGACGCGGGTGGGGGACCCCGTGCCCTGCTCGCCCTCCTGGGAGATCCCCGGGTGCCCCGAGCGCCCACGCCCAGCTCTCTATGCAAAGCCCGCTGCCAGGCAGGGCCGGGCGCACGGCACTCACAGCCTTCCCGCCCGGGGCGGCCTCTGTGGCAGCCTCGGCTCCCGGGTGGGTGGCGGCCCCGAGCCCCGGGCAGCTGCCCCCGCCATTCTCGCGATCCGAAGCAATAAGGCCGCCGGGTGCCTGGGGCCGGGAGGGGCAGCCGCGCGTGGCCCGACGGGGCGACAGGCTCCCCGGAACCGCCCTCTCCCTCCGCAGGGCCCGCGCCTGGCCCCCGCGCCCGCTGCAGCCGGAGCCCC